ATTGCTGAATTACAAAAGCGTGAATGGTACAAAAATCAACGGCAAGAATTTATTTTTCCATCAGTGCACAGTCCTAATCCTTCCCCAAAGCTCAGGAGGGATTAATCCCTCGGTGCCCATCCTGCAGGCAGCAAATATTCAACCCAGGTCCATGGGAGTGACTCAGAAGCTGAGCTTTGTTTAGCAACAGCGAGGTTAGAGAAGGTTCTCTTCCATCAGGGGAAATTTCTCTCTTTTTTCCTTTACATTTCAGATTTGAGGCACCAAAGCTGATTCCTTCACACCAGTGAGAAACTCCAAGTCTCAGGTTCCTTCTACGCTCCAGGCAGTGCCTTTATTTGCCTTAGCTCCCAGAAGAAACACAATTCCTTGGATTTACCAGAAGTACCTGAGCTCACCGAGGAGCCCAGGCAGCAACAAAACTGAAAACCTGGTGCTTATTTACCCAAGCAAAGGGTCAACTTCTTGTTTCCAGGTTCAGAACCACTGCCATAAAAGCACAGCATCCAAAGGAACCCTGAGGAGCAAATCCTCTGGCAGCTCCACTCAAAACCACCCAGGGATTGGTGTCCCTACAGCAGGCAGAGATTCCCTCTGGGTTTAGGAGAGCTCAGGTGAATTCTCTGGCTTATAAACCCCCCTGGCATCAGTTGATTTGCTTTCCCTCTCTGCTGTGCTTCCCTGGCTCTCTGGAGTCTCCAAGGCTGGATTGTTTCCTTGGATTTATTTTAGCTGACCTCTCTTTCCCCTCTTCTCTCTTCCCACACCTTCCTTCGCTTGCAGCACAGCGAGCTCTGCCCCTTGTTCCACAAGATCTGCCTCAAGCAGTGAAAATAAAACATCATTTTATTGCCTACAATCCCTGTCCTACTTCCTGCAGGCCGGGAGGGCTTGGATGAGGAGGAGAGAAGAGTTTTGTGTGTTTGCTGTGGTCCCTGGTCCCGAGCTGCTCCCCAACACCTCCTGCACAGCAGGCAAAGCCCAGGCCAGGACAGCAGCTGCTCCCTCCAAATCTGCGGCCAAAATCAGGTCAAACCTGGGCTATTATCCCCCAGCAAATTAATTAGAGAGCAAACGAGGCCGAGTTAACTCTTGAGCAGATCAGTGGAACGTTCTCAACAGATGTCTGCAGAGGAATATTCCAAATATTCCTCAGGAATGCCATCCCAGAGCCCAGCTCTCCCACAGAACACAGAACCACTGGGGAGGTTTTCCATCCTCAGACACGGCGCAGAAAAATCTGAGAGATGTAGAGGTTTTCTTTTCACAAATCAATTCCCTGCCAGGACACTCCCAGAAATGAGGGTGCCCTCAGCTGCTCTGACGTGGAGGATCTTGGGGCTCCTGCTGTTGTTCTGTCACCAGAAATGAACCCAATTAATCCACTGAAACACTGGCATTTCCCCACTTCTCCTGCAGCCCGCGGGACGCCGGGAATGCTGTGATATCCCTTGGATAATCAGCAGGGAAAGCTGAGGGGAAAATCCCAACGGGGAATCCCAGAACCACGGCAGGTTTTCATGGAAAACTGGGGCTGAGCTCCAGCTCATCTCCAATCCAAAGGGGCTTTGCCCACTTGGCTCCAGCCCCCACACTTTAATGACCATAATTCAGCATTTTTCCAATGTTCAGGCCCGAAGTTTTATCTTTTTATCCCAAGGAAGCAATTTTCTTTCTCTAATTTTGCTCTATACAATATCTCACGCTATGCAATATCTTTGCTCCACGCTGTCCCAATTCCCAAGCTGTATTTTCAGCACCATTGAGATTGTCCTTAACTTCTCCCAGGCCCTGGATCTGCCTCGGTTCCACTTTGGCAAAAATATCCACAACCCTCTTTGCTGCCAGAGAGGAGAGAAATTCAGGAAAGAAAACGGATGGAGGAAAGGGAAAAAAATCCCACAATCCACACACAAACCCCCACATGGACAGACAGAAAAGGGAGAAACAAAGATAAAAAAAAAAAAGGGAATTTTCTGGATTTTCCTCCCCTGAGTTCTTTAGAAACAAGTGTATCCTTAAGTGGCCAAACATGAGGAAAAGCCAAAGTCAGGGTGCACAAAATGACATTTTTTAAGCACCTGAATAAGCACGGATTTAACCCAGCCTCATCCTCTAATCTATTTTCTCATCAGTGCCAGATGCTGCAGCAGAAAGTGCAGGAATTCCACTGGAGGCAGACATGGAATAATCTGCTCTCCCAGGAAATTCCCTCTCAGCTCTCAGCCTGCTTTAAAATACAAAGGATAAACCCTTGTATCTTTTCTGTATTGTTCTCTAAAAATTGTCTTTTTCTGTTTGCAAAGTTTCTCAGACTTCTGGAGACTTCTGTGACTGGCAGGAAATATTTTGCCAAGTTTTGTGCTCCAAGAACGCTCCTTGGCCTAATTAAACATCTAATGAAAAATTAAGTTAAAAATTAAACCCAAGGCTTTGGATTTTTCAATTTTGCTGCATAACCAAGAGAAAAGTTCTTCATTTACTTTCTGTGCACCATTCATCAAACTCTTTCAAGATTTTAACCTGAATAATGGATAGATCCTTGAATTATTTGGGATATGGAGGGCTCACAGATGAATGGAACACTCCGAGATTGAACAGAAAGCACAGCCAGGCTTTCCCTGCATGTTTTAGCACAACAGGATAGTATCAATTTGTAAAAATTGATTTTAATTTTTTTTTTTTTTTTGTAAAAAGAAACTTGAAGCTGAGAGCTGTTTTCATAATTAAAGAAATTTTGCCGAAATTCACCTAGCCCAGCTCCAGCATCCCCCTGCATCGCCTGAAACCAAAACACTGCAGCAGCAAGGAGCCCAAAGTGAAGCTGACAAATTATTTTCATCCTCTAAACTGAGGGGAAAGGGGAATAAAAAACCCCACAGCGTGAGTAATAACATCAGGTTAAAATCCTTTTCCTTCAAAGCAGTATTTCATATAAATATCCACTCATCTGTTTGCAACAGGCATCAAGTTTAAGGGAGTTTTATCACCTCATTATTTGTTTCACACCTTCCCAGTGTTTGTTTTTTATTTTTTTTTCCATCTGCCAAGGCTGTATTTATCCCACTGCCATAATTATCCAATTTTATTTGCTGAGGGACCCATATAAAGACTGAAAATTGGGAAGACAGGCACTTAATTTAAAGGAATAAAGGTGTTTCCAAGGACTGTTTTGTCACTATTTTTCCCAAATGTTTAAAACTTCCCCCATTTCTACAGGGACAGCTCCACGTGGGTCATTCCAAGCAAAGGATGTTTGGATAAAACAAAGCATTCCAATTAAAAGCTGCCATTTTAGGCAGGATTTTCCAGCTCCGTCCGTGGCTATCCATTTCAAATATGGAAATTCCAGGGATTTGATTGGAATGACTCTTTAAAGGAGCCCTGTGCTCCCAGAGACGATTACTCAGCTAATCTGGGTTAAGCTTCCTGATGGATAAATCAGGATTTGAATGCTGAATAAGGAGAGGTTTCCATGTGACGTGGGAAGAGCTGGGAAGTAAATACAGAAGCGGTGGAGAAAAAAAACCTGAGTATGTTTTTGGAAAAAACAGCTAAAAAGGCTCAATATCATCCTTTACTCCAGCTTCACATTAAAGCATTGCACTACAAATTTTTTTTTTTCCTGGAATCTAAAATGTCCAAAAATGAGAATAAAATAGGGTACAGCTGGTATCCTACCAGTAGGTGCCAGGTAAAGTAGGCACCCTGGAGCACCTGAGCAGGCACAAGGAAACATTAAAAATGATGAGATGACAAGAGAAACAGAGAATTCCAATGAATAATCTGCTGGGAAAAGCACTTGTTGTGCTAACAAGCTTTTATTCCAGATGATTTATAGATCACAGATTTGTTCAGAACCTTTTTAACCAGCAGCTCCCTCCCTGGAGCTGGTAATGAGGGACACTACAAATGAGCATCTCTCTCATAGTGGCCTAAAAAAGTTCCCTGTTCCACTGGATTTATGACCTGCAAATGCAATTATTCAGCTTATTCACTGCTGCTTCTTAGGGACACCAGGAGTGCAGAGGAGAAAAACAAAAGGCATTGTATGGATTCTGCTGGAAGGAGTCTTGCACAAGAGAGATCCACCAGGAATTCTCCGTTCGGTGGAGGATCTCTCGGGATGTTTCCTGTAGCAACAGATGCAGAGCATCACACAAAACAACTCAGTGCCCTCCTGGCTCCATCCCAGCCCCAGAGATCGCAGCAAACACCTCGTTCCTCGGCAGAATTGACTTATAACTCACCAACCTCCATGTGAGGAGGGCAAAAAAGCTCCTGTCTTCGTGGAGCCACACCGAGGGAACAAACCCCAGATCCTCTCTGAACACCGAGGGAACAAACCCCAGATCCTCTCTGAACACCGAGGGAACAAACCCCAGATCCTCTGTGAACACCGAGGGAACAAACCCCAGATCCCCTCGGAACTCACAACTCCCACCGGGCTCCGCACTGGGAAAGGGAGGCTGGGGAAGGACACACGGCCTGAAAGCCCACGGCGGGGCAGGATGAGGAGGGAATGCCTGGGCAGAGGAGCAGCGGGCGGGCTCGTCCCGCTCGGGGCAGGGGGAGCCCGGCGGGGCCGCCCCGTCCCAGGGCGCAAATCCCGGGAATGCGGCTCGGGAACACCACGGCCCGACAGGAATCCGAGGCGGAAAGAATACAGCGAGAGGGGAAATAAACATATCCACAGAGCACCTAGAAGGTGCAGAGGGCGCAGAAATAAAGTGATTTAAAAAAAAACAATTAAAGTGCACATCCCCTCGCTGGCAAACCGCAACCCTCGCTCGTTTGGGATTTTTTCTCTTAAGGCCATGTGATTCCCCAGGACAAAACTTAAGCGGGGGCAGGCGAGCAGCGCACAGTGTCTCGGTGCTGGGGCTCCGCGGGGCGCGGAGCGGGAGCCGCTGAGGGCAGGGCCGGGCCGGGCACGGTCCCCTCGGAGCGCGGCCGCCTCAGCGCCGGCCCCGCGCGGCCCCTCCGCGGGCAGCGCTTACCTCCGGCGGGCTCCCCCGGCTTCTGCTCCGCTTCTGAGCGCTTCTGAGCGCTTCTGCCCCGGCTCTGAGCGGTTCTGCCCCGGCTCTGCGCGGTTCTGCGCGGTTCTGCGCGGTTCTGCGCGGTTCTGAGCGGTTCTGAGCGGTTCTGCGCGGTTCTGCGCGGTTCTGCGCGGTTCTCCTCAGGCTCCCGCCCTCAGCGCTCCATGGCCCCGGCGCTGGCGGCCGCGCTTCCCCAGCGCTGCGGCCCCGCGGGGAGCGCCGGCGGCTCGGCTGCCTTCCCTTCGCTCCCCGCTCCTCTCCTTCCCTTCCTGCCTCTGCCTTTCCGCCCCTTCCTCTCGCTCTGCCTGCTCCGCGGCGCTCCGCTCTCCCCTCCCGGCTCCGTCCGTCCCGCCCCGCTCCGTGCGGCCCTCCCCCGCCGCAGCCCCGGCCCCGCGTCCTCCCGGCCGGGCTGGGGCCGAGGCGAGCTCCGGCGGCGGCTCTGCACGAATCCAGCCGGGTTCCAGCCTGCACGGGCTGGCAGCAGCCTGGGCTGGTGCGTGGCATCGCTCGCCCGTGGCGGGGTGCGATGAGGGCAGCGCTGAGGTGCCTCCCAAGCCAAACCAATTCCAGGAAGGAATCAAACACAAATAATCAAACACAAGTCCATTGATAGCTTAGATCCATAGGGGCAGAGCAGGGCAGAGGAAGCAGCTGGTGGTGTTCGAGAACTCTCCCCGGGGAATGGTGCCTGGAGCAGAGGAGCGCTCACCGGGGGAAGCAGCGGGCACAAGCCCCGGGCACAGCCGGGCTGGGATTTTGGGGAGGAATTCTTCCCTCCTGCCAAACGAGAGCTGCTCACCTCGAACACTGAATGTCACATCTCACACCTGTGGGAGCTGCTGCCCGGTCACACCGCCCCAAACACCCAGCAGATAAAGGGTGATTCTCTTTATCTGGTTTGTCACTTCTGTTTCATCGCAAACATGAGATCTTAGGGTGTTTGATGTCCTCATCAAAGGCCAAGTTTCTGGAGTAATAACATCAGGACTTGGCTCACGTGGTAAAAGAGGAATTTTCTGGTCTTCAGGGCCGAGGAGCAGCATTTAAAAGGCTTACAGAACCCACCCCAATTCCCCAAAACCTCAGAGTCCAGCAGGGAAAAATAAAATCTATTCATTATAAAACCTTTTAAATGAAGAGTTAAACTGGTTATTTGCGGATGACACACAGCCCCTTGATTTTTTCCAGGGATGCATGACTGTAGCCTCTGAAAAGTGAACAGAAGGCTGCTGTGTTGAGATTCTTACTCAAGTCCCATCCCATGGCCCAATATCCCACAGGCCCACAGGCCAGACCACAGCAGATTTTGATAAACCACTCTTTATGCAATAAAAGAACAATATTGAATGAAAGTTCTGTGCCCACAGAGGAGAAAGGATTGTCTGTCCAGCTCAGTAAAAGAGTTAATAATTAATAGAGAGATTTCTCTAACATACAGGAGTTTCTGTTAAAATATAAAATTAATTATCAATCGAATGTCAACATGCCAATACCTTTTACAAAATTTAAAAGTAAATTTAAATTCTCCTGCAGTGAGGAGAGCCAAGGTGAATTTTTGTCCCTCTCTGCTGCCCTGGACACAGATCAAGGACTCGGATCCAGAGTTTGGTGTGCAAAGTTCTTAAACTCGTTAAACTCTGTGAAACTCCACAGAGAAGTCACTTCTGCAATCCTCCCCTGGATTCTAGGTGTAAACCCTGTGCTTTAGGCTCAGGCAAATCTTTGGAATATTTAGGAGTTGTGTCATCTGTAAGCACTGAACAACACGAACTAGGGCAGGACACAGAATTCCCAAAGGGCTGAATGAAACTCTGCTCTTCCAGACTACAAGGCCAGGGAAATCCAAATCCTGCTCTTGGTCATTCCCAGCCTCCAGGCAGCACATCCAAGCTTTGCAGCTCCCTGGCAACAGGAGAGAGCAGCAACCCTGATCCGGGCAGCGATTCCGAGTCAGGGATGCAATTCCAGAGGCTGGGAAGAGCAGCAGTGCTTCAGCCTGCTGGGAAGGACGGGGCTGCTCTGGTGGGCAGCTGGCAGCTCCCAGGGTTCCTCCTCTGTCCCCTGCCATCCTCCTGGAATCCTCCTGGAATCCTCCTGAAATCCTCCTGGAATACTCCAGGAATCCTCCTGGAATCCTCCAGGAATCTTCCTGGAATCCTCCTGGAATCCTCCAGGAATCCTCCTGGAATCCTCCTGAAATCCTCCAGGAATACTCCAGGAATCCTCCTGGAATCCTCCTGGAATCCTCCAGGAATCTTCCTGGAATCCTCCTGAAATCCTCCAGGAATCCTCCTGGAATCCTCCTGAAATCCTCCTGGAATCCTCCAGGAATCCTCCTGGAATCCTCCAGGAATCTTCCTGGATGCCAGGAGGGGATGCTGAGAGCAGGAGGATGAAGTGAAGGCTCTCCTCAGAGCTCCTGCTGCGATGGCATCGTGGGCTCGTGTTACTCTCACCTGCCTCCACCGAGCCTGCCAAGCCAGCTCCAAGAAGTCACTCCTGAGATGTTCCAGAAGGCCCGAGTGCTCCTGCTCCGTGCCAAAGCGAATCCTGAGAGCTGCAGCACTCCCTGCCCTGCTGCACTTACCAAGTGCCTCTCACTGGCACCAATCTTGCACTGCTGGGAAGCTCTGACCATCCCAAAGGACTTCACATCCATAAATCCAGCTGAGATCCTGGCAGCCTTGGGAAAAGGTCACTTCTCTGTGCACTCACTGCCCCTGTCCTTCCCCCAGCCTGAGCTCTCAGACACGCAGCAGCTCGGAGATCACGTTTGAGGCCATCTGCAAGGTCCTTCTCAACCCACGCCCTTCTGTGATTCTGTGAAATCCTGGAGATTTTTTTTGGTTATCCAGCTTCTCCTCCTGGCCAAACCTCCCCATTCCTTGGAGAGTCCTCGGGGGGAGCTGCCCAAAGGCACCTCCGGGAGCGTCTGTGTGGCAGCACAAAGGGGACGAAGGGATTGTGCGGCGGTCAGAACCGGACAGCCGGAGCAGGAGGCAGGGAGGCACCTCCTCTCTCCCCCATTTTTAGCTGGGATCCCGCTGCCTTCCTCACAGAAACTCCCAGGATAATGCACAGCGAGGCTGAGGCTGCTCCCTGAATGGGGACATCCCTTTCTCCGTGTTCTTCCCCCGGCAAAATCCCAAAACCAGGCAGGGGATGAACATTTGTGGGTGAACACCCGTGTTCCAGGGTTTTGCAGTGCCAGGACACAGGGAATGGCTTCCAGAGGGCAGGGCTGGATGGGAGATTGGGCAGGAATTGTTCCTTGGCAGGGTGGGCAGCCCTGGCACTGGTGCCCAGAGCAGCTGTGGCTGCCCCTGGATCCCTGGCAGTGCCCAAGGCCAGGATGGACAGGGCTTGGAGCAGCCTGGGACAGTGGGAGGTGTCCCTGCCCATGGCGGAGCTTGGAATTAAATGGGTTTAAGGTTCCTCCCAATCCAAACCATTCCATGTTTTTTGTTTTTTTGGTTTTTTTTTTAAGTGCCAGCACCATAGAGATGACACACAGGGATCATCTCTTCAGGCAGTAGCTCAGGAGGGTTTTGGGGATTCATTGTTGACACAAAGCTCTCACCAGTCCAGGTGATGCTTTTCCTCATTTCCCTGTGACTTGTGACCATTTCTGTCCCATTGTGGTGCATGATTCCCACATTCCCAATCCTCCAGCCAAAAAGCTCCATGGTGAGAGGAAGAGTATTCCTGATATTCCTGACCCCTTCCCTAGAGCTGGGCAGTGGAGGGATGGTCCAGCTTTTTTCTGGAAACTGAAACTGCCTCAGGATCAAACCTGAGGATGTGGATCCTGTGGGGATTTGTTTTCTCTACTAGAAAAAAACTAAAGCAATGTTTGTGGGAGAGAGGCTGGGGGAAAAGTCCAACTTCCTAAAATAGGAAAACTGTTGCACTCATTTCATTTTTTCTCCTGAAGAGACTGAGAGGGGGAAAAAATAAGCTGGCAGATGTCTGTGGTTGTGTCGAATGCAACTCAGATCCTTGGGTGATAAATGTGGCAGGAGAGCTGGAACAGAGCAGGATAAATGGATTCCGTGAGGTCCTGTCAGAGGAAACATTTCCCATTAAACCAGGAAGGGAGCAGCAGGAAATGAGGCTGGAATGAGGATGGCTGATATAAACAGAAGGGGGGTCCTGGTTCCTGTGCCTCCAGCACCCCCAAGGCAGCCTCAGAACCTCCACTGAGACTATTTTGGGGTATTTTACACAAATTTCTGGGTTTACTCAGAACCTGGTTCCCCTTCCCCCTCCAAATCCCTCTTTTCAGGGAGGATCAGGAGATTTTTGGCACTGCCCACGCCAAGCAAAGCCTGCCAGGGACTCCCCACAGGATTTTTTTCCCCTCTGTGCCCTCAGCTCATCAAACCCAAATGTCTTTATCATCTTCCCTCCTCTTCCATAAAGATCGTGGTGCCAGGAAAAGGGATTCAGGTGAAAACTGAGGGAGGCTGTGGATTGTTGGGAGATGAACAGGACAGGATGGAACCAGGGAAAAGAAACAAACACCCCGGATACTGTAAGAGATCCGTGAATTAATTAATTAGTTGGGCACAATTAATGAATGTCTGTGCTCCCTTATCTGTCCTACCAGCTGAAGGAGCTGAAGAAGCTCATGGATATCAAATAAATGGGAATTGAATGGGATATAACAGATGCTGGGCTCAGGCAATGGAATTTCCCCTCCCCATTTCACACCAAGAGTAGAAGATTTGTTGGGTTTGATATCAAGAGGGAGCGAGAAGCTGAGCAAGGAGGGAAGAGGTGCAGGGCAGACGTTCCATCCCTCCTGCAGCTTTATTAGGGATTTGTTTGGGAGAAGTGCATGGAGCAGCAGCTGTGCAGTGAAGGATGTGCATCCCACCCCTCCAAAAATCCCTTTGGGAGGCGTGGATGAGGTTTTTCACCCTCAGGAGTGGCTGAGGAGGCTGCTGTGGATTCCCAAAGCCTGCATGGAACTGGATCAACCAGCAGTCCAGGCAGCTCCCCTCCAGCAGGGTGGCTTCCCTGAAAAGGACCCACCTAGTTTTCCTAGGAAAAGGGCTGGAGCTTATGGAGCCACTGAAGATTTTATTACTTTGAAAATGCTGTTTTTAAAGGCAGACGCTGCCCTGGAGCAATGCCAGGGCTGGAATGGAACCGCTGGAATTTCTCATCCATAAAGCAGCAGGCAGGGGCAGGAGATGGGAAGTGGGAAGGATTTGTCACAGTCCCAAAACAATGAGGGCAATTCCATGGATGATTTCTCCTTCTGAAACAAACCTGGAAACCCAAATATTTTCGTGAAAGAACAGCAAGGAACATTACAGCACATCCTGGGA